AAAAATTGCCCCTCTCTGCCGATTACAATAATTTAAATATAAAATAAAAATACTCTCAATAAAAATAAATTTTGTTATCTTATTAGAACAAGGAACATGCGCATGTATATAGAAAGAAGGGATTCGAAATAAAAGGAAGATTTTTTTAGTTAACAATAATAAAATAATTCGATTATTCTTCTGTAACATTGATAAACATTTTAAATTGGAATGTAACGGACATAAAAGGAATTTTAATTAATAATTAATACATCATGTCCGTCACTTCACAAACAATACTAAATATCGAATTTAACTAAGCTCAAGTTTATTATCCATGCAGTTGTTAATAAAATTAGTAATACTTCTTTGTTTAACAATTACCAAATTGTTATTAATTTAGCGAAGAAGATATATTAATTATGAATAATCTATTAGTCCATTCTACACATTTAAAATTCATTAAAAGGAACCTGAATGAAATATATGCAACCCCCAAACTAGCTAAGTGTGAATGTGTGCAGCTGTATAACAACGTTACAAACTTTTTCAAACAATATTACATTTTATTTTTCGTATTAGAATTTAAATATATATATAAAAACTTCTTCTACTCAGCTGTTGTGCTTAATATTCAAAATCAAATTTGTACTACTCTGTATTCTCAAATTTTTAAAAAATTTTGACTAATAAAATAAATTATAGTAAAGCAGCTATCACTTAGATACCTAACACATATTATATCACAAAAGACTCACAATCATTGTAATTAATTACAATTCATAAGAATTACAATAGCCAGCGCAATTGTAATATCGTACTAATTATATATAAATAATCGGTATAATTGCCTAAATTTCGATATTATCAATTTACTTCTCTCGAAAGTAGATCGTGAACAACATAATGCTTTTTAGCTTGAAGTTGTTCAACATATGAAAGAAATATACACCAAACTAAACTACACATACTAACATAGGGCACCCTGTTACGTTCAGGTATGAACATGAAATTTATTGTCTGAAATACAGGCCATACAAAAAATCCCACCTGCAAAAATTTGATTTTTAAGTATGTAGTGATATCTACAATTATATAATCGTTCAATTCAATTCAAAAAAACAATCAATCAAAGCTCAAGCTCATAAAAAAATGTCATTTTGGACATGTACTGATTATAGTAATAACATGCTTACCTTCCATGTAGGGAGAAATTTATTTCTTACTTCCTCTTTGGCTTCCTCAATGCTTTTAAATTGTAACAAAGACATTCCAAAGAAAAAGCAAATCAGTGCTGCTGGGCCATAAGTTATTTGTTCAACCACTGCCTGCCAGAGAAACATTTTTAAATTATTTTCATTGGCGCCTAAATATTATTATTATTACATACTGTAGTTATCAAATTTTACAACAGATGCCACTAACATGCTGATATATTGATCATAAAAGTGAAATTTGTAATAAAAACCACAAATATTAACACAAAAATACCGCACACTTGAGGAAGATTATTTAAAATTTAGATTTATCTCACCTTGGTTAGTGCGGTTTTTAAATTTGTGCTCGGCCAAATAATTGTTGAAATTCTAACCCAGCCATACAATGTAGGGGCTGTAAACAACCCACCATACAAACTGAATCGTAAAACTTGATTCCAGTCTAAATTATCCCACGATCTTCCAGCTATTTTTTGTTGTATAACACAAGAAATTGGCCACAATGTTGCATAAGACGCCATACCTCTGACTATGGGATATTTACGAAAAAATGCAAAAAATTTTGAAAAATGCGCCATAATATCAATTAATTAAAGAATTGGGTATTTAAATATAATAACTAAGGTAGCACTTTAGTATTAATTAGGGAACATTACCCAAATGTTACAATATTTTGTTATGAGAATAAATGATGACGAAATTTAGTGATTCTACTCTAGCTTCACTGCCAAGGAATCATGTTATTGAACTTTGAATTGTCAACTACGTTTAATGTAATCATAATAATTTTACAACTTATTATGTAATTATTTATGGAACATGCATAGCAAAAGGGACGAATGCAACGCTTTGAGGTCACAGTTTTAAAAAACGCTAT